CGATGATTGGAGACAATTGGTGATTTGGCTGGCTCAAAATCGTTCTCAATAGTTGGTGTAGATGCATTCACTCTTTGTGAATGGTTTGTCATATCTAATAAAACTGTATTTATTTAGGAAGTACCATCAGCCCCAACGGGTTGATCTCTGACGAAATCTCAGCACGGAAACATAGGGCTAGTTTCGCATATACCAGTTTACGTCATCTCTGGCTTGGTAGACCTGATATCCGCCTGTCAACCAAAGGGCGTGTGTACTTCTCAGCAGTCTACTCCATCCTCCTTTATGGCTGTGAGACCTGGCCATTGAGAGTCGAAGATATGAAAAGCCTGACAAGCTTTCTATCTCCCTTGTGAAGTGGTATACTAAGGTGAGCAATTTTGAGGTTAGGCATCAGTCGAATGCTAGGTAAGGAGGGGAAATCATTCGGCGAGGCCATGAAATTACATCGACTGAGATGGTTAGGACATGTTTTACATATGCTGTTATACCTAGTCATCACCTTCCTAGACCATGAGCAATGTTAACTGACATAGAGTCAGGCTGGAAAAGAGCTAGCGGCGGTCGAACTAAAAGATGTCTTCATCAGTCAATGAAATCCACAACAGTTAGTTTAAGTCACGTAGGAAAGTACAGAATTTGTGGTTGGGACCCTCGGAACGGTAAAAACTAATGGTTGGAAACAATTGGCGATATGGCTCAAAATCGTTGTCAATGGCTGGTGGAGATGCATCTACTCCTTGTGACCTATGAGTTCCAATGAAACTACATCGTTCTTCGTTATTACTAATCCTTTGTCTCACACCTCTGTTTACTCTCCCTACTATGCATTTCTTCTACTTTCTTCTCTTGCTTTGTGTGGTACATGAAGGGAGTGTGGCGACTTGAACTGCCACACATCGGTGCGAAGCTCTATGTCGAAAACAGACAGACAATAAAACTCTATTCTTCTTCCATATTACTATTCCTTCTTCATCACTCACACTTCTGTTTATTATACGTCTTTTAATGAACCTCTCTATACTCTCTTCACTTACTTTATGTGGTACGTGGAGGGAGAATGGCAAGTTGAAGTACTGCCCATCGGTTCAAACGTCTGTGTTGAAAGCAGTCAGTCAGTCAATCAAAATAGTTATTTCTGTGTGTGTATACATAATGGTGTTAGAAAAGTATAAAAATAAGTCGGGTTATTACTTATGTTAGTGAAATATTTCAAAAATGTGACGAAAATTCAAATTGTAAGTAGGACAGGGTGGATGGGTGTTTAAATATTGGTAAGTCTTGACTATGGTTATGTAATATGAAAAAAGTTCAAAAAGTAGGGTGTTTTTATGAATGAGCATAGAGACAAGCGTTCAAAATAAATTATGTAATAGGTGGAAAGAGTAAATGGAGGATTAATTAATACCATGAAAGTTGGAGAGATTGAAGGAACCTCTTCTGTACACAGATATCTGACTTTTCTGTTTCGATTCTTAAAACAATTAGTCCTTTTGATAAATTTGAATAAGGCACCAAAGAAGACAAATTTCGCCACGAGATGATATCTTCATTTAGTAGTTTCTTTACAACCGCTTTGCAACTAACATGGTTAACAATAATAAAATAAAGTTCATGAAAATTACTCAGTTAAATAAAAACAAAAGTACATACTAATGACCAATCTTATTCAGATAGGTCGTGTAGTCCAGGGTAGGCGAAGATTGAAGTCTATTGATTTTTGTACACACAGTTTAGGCTGTATGTGACTAATCCAAAGTGCTTCCATCACCTTCAATAACCAACTTTGAATTAGAGTTATGTGAAATAATTGTGAAACAGTCATTAATATTGATTTTGTGACCAGACATTAATAAGTGTTTTGCAATGGATAGTGATGCTGGATTTCTATTCAGATTAATCGCATTGGGATTTTCGATATGATTTACTAGCCATTTTGGAACATGTTCTTTTCGATGACATTGGAACATTCTGTTAGTTCTACCTATATAGGTGTCACCGCAACTGCAGGTGAACTCGTAGATACAGTTTGAAGTAGAGTCCACAGAATTTCGTCCTTTAATCGTAGGAACAGGGATCGAAAATGTTCGGCAAGTGAGAAAAAGAGATGCGGTGGCGTAGAATGTGCGTTTGATGGCTGACCGAAGTCTTTGAGCTATCAACTGCATAATCTGGTCGCCCTTGAATGGTAGATTAATAAAGATAGCTTTCTTTGGTACGGATTGTTTCGATTGACAACACCTGCTTCAGCAATACAACAGATGAGTTGGGTACGTAGGAATTCGGGCAAATCACTTTTCGCCTTTTAGATGACTTCAAAAGCGGAGGCTATAGGATAGGATGATCATTATCGAACAGATGTCCAATGATCGCGCTTCTTATTGCCCCACTCCCACCTCTTCGTAACTAGCATGCAGGATAGTGTTCTTGCACTCTCTTGGACAAAACTCGAGTCAAATGATCGATACACTCAGCTCCACACGAGCAGGTGAGTCGCTAAACACAGCGGGATCTTGTCCTTCAGGTTACTGAACAGTAATGGTCGACTGGTGAAGGCTATTCTTAGAGATGCAGCAGGGAAAATTCATGATATCGGAAGCTAAGTCACCTTTGAATTCCAAACTCATGTAAAAAATTTTCTTGGATGCGGATGATAAGTCACGTTTCATAGGATTTGGATGTATATTCTTGTCTATAAAACATGGTGGAAATCCATTTTCTATTAGGATTTTCCTTAAAAGATTTGACTAATCCTATACAGTATCAGGGCTACGTATGTACCGAATGCGAGGGACAAGCGACCGGACCAGGCCTACCTAAATAGGCTGACGAATTGATTGTCTCATTGCCAATTACATCCCTATCTAACTGTTTCTAGCTTAATGGCTTTTTGTTGGATATCAACCAGTGGTCTAAGCTAAATAGTTTTACGTTGAATTCCTCTAAATGTCAGACTATTGACTTAACCTTTGATCTTCAAGAACTTGTTCGTTCACATGATACTTGTAGCGTAGGGCATGTAGGGCACCAAAATAGAAACTGAGTCAAGCGTCAGATCCCTGCGTCCTTTCTTGTTCATCGCATATCTTGTAGATTTTGGTGAAGATGTTCCATCGAACCTTCCACATTAAGAAGTTAAAACAAACAGGCGGGTATCACTTGACCTCTATTTCCACAGTTTGTTAACTTTTGCATCCTATATGTTGTACTTTACTGTTCCGCCTGCCACTCTTGATCTTTCCTGGGCTACGCAAAAATGACTCTATCATTTTGAGAAGGGTATTAAAGGTTGTCAATACGTCAGTTAGTGTGTGGTTTAGTCAGCCAGCTCGTTATTACTGTAGTCGATAGATACATGTAGCCATGTGAGTCCACATTGTCTGACTCTCGACACACACTCTATTCTCAACTCTCCCCACCCCACAGCATCTCATCAGATAGTCGACTAGGTGTCATTATGAAAGGAAATATGCTTGTAAAAGCAAGTACAGAAGCTCTACGGTTTGATATATCTGGCCCATTTGCGTTTTATCTGATAATGTTAAGCGCAAAACCTACGGCTTACTAAGTAATCAGAAAAATAATTGGCCTTTTGTTCCTCTCCTATTTGTAATCTATGTTGACGCTATTTCAATTAACTTAAAATTTTAGCTGATAACGATATTATCATCATTATTTCACACTTCCTGCGCATTTTTGACATTATTATTGCTCCAATCACCAAAAAAATGCTGCTATTATCAATCTTATAGTATTGTGGTGAGAGCTATCTGCTAGCCAAAGTTGTTAGACAACAATTTACGTCCCAAATCTTGGTCATCAGAGAAAACAAGAACAAAGCTTAACTAACCTTGATGAACTCAACAACCAATCACAGCAGACTTCGAGTAGGTAAATACGATTCGCAGATATATGGCTTAACTTTCTGAGAAACGGTCACAAGCAGTATAGAATAGCCTACAGCAAGAAAACAACCAATCAGAAGACGCTGTTTCTCTGCTAACAATAACGCTAATAATGATGTACATAAAAATCTATAAATATCTGTTGATTTTCTCATTAAACTATCCGTTTTCTGACCCTTGTCTTCTGTCGTTACAATATTAATTTTGATTTTTGGCTTTCGAGTAAATTAGATGCGGGATTGTACCTAATGCTAAGAATTTCATGTTGTACCATAAGTACTGCTATTGCGGAATAAAGCGAATTAATATTATCCCCTTTTATTCTGGATTACCGCCGCATGGAAAACTAGACAAAACGAAGTTGACGAGTATGTTAACTTTCGGGAATTGAACACTAGGCCAAAATGTGTATGGTTTCCCGATGAATCATCGACGCTAAATTCCCCCCTCCATTCATTGTTTCAATGATACTGATTATTGTATATAGGAGAAAATGTAAACTCATCTCATGTTATTTTATATTTTCAAGTATTGGTTTTGTAGAGGGTTTTGTTTGATTGCATGGAGGATTTCACCATCAGCTGGCATCAGTTAGAGAACCACTGGAAAACCACCTGGGAGTACTGGACAGCTGTCTCGCCCTAGTTTGGGACTCTTTATCAGTACGCACCCGGCGGGGTTCGAGCCCACAACTTTCTGGTTTCAAGGTGAGCCACTGGAACCCGATCCAATGGTCTTTGAATTCTAACTTCTGTCAATTCACGACATAGCGCGACCATTTCTCAATGTCTTACTAGATGAGTTACTGCGACTTGCCCTATTTAGGCAGTGACCTGGGGTTCTAGCGGGAAGCCGTGACCAGTAGGGTACAGCAGGTTGAAGATGAGGCAGTAACTCATCGAAGAAGACATTGCGAAATGGTCGCACTATGTCGTGAATTGGCAGAAGTTAGAATTTATGGGCTGGTTGTTGGATCGGATCCCAGTGGCTGTATAGTCTCCGAGCTAGCTCCCTTGTAACCAGAAGGTCCTGAGTACGGGCCCCGGTGGGTGCGTACTGGTGAAGAGTCTTAAACTGGGACGAAAGACCTGTCCTGTACTCCCAGGTGGTTTTCCAATGATTCTCTAAATGATGTCAGCTCATGATATAATCTTCCATGCAGTCATTTTATTTTGTCAAAAATAAAAACGAACAATAATTTTATATAAATATATATTAGAATTTAGTATTCCGATTCCTGGCACAAAAGTAATACAGACTAGTTTGTAAAACACAGAGAGAAAAGAGAACAGCAACTGGTTGAATTATTTGAATATATATGTGAAGAATGAATTGAAAGTGTTCTGTAGGAGTTCACCATTTTTATTTTAGCCTTTGCCCATCACTATTCACACTAGAAATAAATAGGAAATAAAATCGATTAACGTTAAATCACGGAATATACACATTGGGTCATAGGAGTAAATAAGAAGACAGTTGCAGCGAAGAAAATTTTCTTTTCGACGAAGTCATCATCTAGGCTGTACATTCGTGTATTTATATCAAATGGATGGGAAAGTTCCAGAATAATATCCGGTCAAGGGTCAAATTAATAAAAATTAAAATTGGGAATTAGAATGCCATAATAAACAGGGGGATGGATAAAACAAACAAAATAGCATTAAAATAACTAAGAAGACTGACATTGTGCAATTAGGGGTTAGAAATGTAGAAATAACAAAATAGACAGGATGTTTGGATAAAAACTAATGTGATGAATAATTGTTTATGCAATCAGGGATTAAATGTGTAGAAATAGTAAAATGACAAAATAAACACTAAGTTCGGGTAAGAAAATATGGTAGTGTAAACAGGGATTAAGAAAAACTTGAAATAACATGAATAAACAGGAAGTTTAGATAAGAAAGGCGATGGGATGGTGATTACTAAAAATTACTTGTTTATGATGGCCATGGCAAGGACAGGGGTTGGACGTATTTCTTTTGTATACAAAGCGTGGGTTTGAGCTTTTGTATAGCTAGCGCCTCGGCTATGCCCAGATGTCTTGATTTTACTCCCTTTGATGGGTTTGATCGAATCTTGTAAATGATTTTGAAGGATTTTTCGAGTGGCGCTGAATGTCCTGAATTCACCAGGTGTTCTGTCACCGAACTATTTACCCGTTTTCGTTCTCCTTTTACTAGCCAGGCTGGATAGTGTTCACGAGCGCGTTTTTCAAGTCGGCGCATGGTACGGCCAACGTACTCAGCTCCACAAGAGCAAGTAAACTGGTATATGCACGTTGAGGTGGCCCAATGCGACAGCTTGTCTTTCGCGTTCTGGCTGAACAGTTTCTTGCAGGAAAACGTCAGTCGTAGGCTAGCGGCGAAGTATGTTTTCCTCAGCGATTTTGAGAGGCGTCTGCGAAGGATTTCTGCTTCAATCTCACCTTTGAATTCTAGATTAAGCAGAAGCATTTTCTTTGGGACGGATTGGACTTGTTCAGAAGTCTTCTTAGGTTTGAGATTCTTTTCTATGAACCTGGGCGGGAAACCGTTTTCCATCAGGGTTTTTCGAAGATTACGCAGTTCTTCTTCAACCACTTCCTCGCTGCATATCTTCCGAATCCTCGAGGAAAGAGCGTATATCAGGTTCCTCTTTCTGCTCAGGGGCACGAAGCTTTGAAAGTTGATGAATTGTCCATTCCATGTAGGCTTTTTGTATATGGACCTTTTCAGGGAGTTGTCGGCGTTTCTTGTCAGATGGACGTCGAGGAAGTGGAACATTCCGTCGGATTCAGTCTCAAGTGTGAAGTCGATGTTTGGGTGGGCATTATTGAAAATTTGAAGTAGGTTTTTTAAATCACAGTTCTCATCACAAATAATGAAAGTATCATCGATGTATCTCTTGTAGAGATGGAGGTCGTTGATAGTTGTTGATAAGGCGTTGTTCTCTAAGCTAGCCATAAAGCAGTCGGCTAGAAGGGGTCCTAAGGGAGAACCCATTGCTACTCCATCTACTTGCCTGTATATTTCTTTGTTGAAACTAAAGTATACGTTGAAGGTGCATCGAAGTAACAGTTCTTTCAGGTAATGAATTGGTATATCGACATTGATGTTATTGGATTCAATGTAGTCACAAAGGAAACATACGGTTTCTGTCAGTGGAACGTTGGTGAAGAGAGACACGACATCCAGGGAGACCATTTTCTTTTCTGCCACATTGACATTCTTAATTGAATCAACAAAGTCGAATGTGTCGCAGAGGTTATGTCTTGACAGCTTCTCTTTCACCGGCCCGAGAATCTCCACCAGCCATTTCGCGATTGTATGATATGGGGAATCTATCATATCTAGTATTGGGCGGAGTGGGACGTCTTGTTTATGTACCTTGGGTAAGCCGTACATAAACAAGACGTCCCACTCCGCCCAATACTAGATATGATAGATTCCCCATATCATACAATCGCGAAATGGCTGGTGGAGATTCTCGGGCCGGTGAAAGAGAAGCTGTCAAGACATAACCTCTGCGACACATTCGACTTTGTTGATTCAATTAAGAATGTCAATGTGGCAGAAAAGAAAATGGTCTCCCTGGATGTCGTGTCTCTCTTCACCAACGTTCCACTGACAGAAACCGTATGTTTCCTTTGTGACTACATTGAATCCAATAACATCAATGTCGATATACCAATTCATTACCTGAAAGAACTGTTACTTCGATGCACCTTCAACGTATACTTTAGTTTCAACAAAGAAATATACAGGCAAGTAGATGGAGTAGCAATGGGTTCTCCCTTAGGACCCCTTCTAGCCGACTGCTTTATGGCTAGCTTAGAGAACAACGCCTTATCAACAACTATCAACGACCTCCATCTCTACAAGAGATACATCGATGACACTTTCATTATTTGTGATGAGAACTGTGATTTAAAAAACCTACTTCAAATTTTCAATAATGCCCACCCAAACATCGACTTCACACTTGAGACTGAATCCGACGGAATGTTCCACTTCCTCGACGTCCATCTGACAAGAAACGCCGACAACTCCCTGAAAAGGTCCATATACAAAAAGCCTACATGGAATGGACAATTCATCAACTTTCAAAGCTTCGTGCCCCTGAGCAGAAAGAGGAACCTGATATACGCTCTTTCCTCGAGGATTCGGAAGATATGCAGCGAGGAAGTGGTTGAAGAAGAACTGCGTAATCTTCGAAAAACCCTGATGGAAAACGGTTTCCCGCCCAGGTTCATAGAAAAGAATCTCAAACCTAAGAAGACTTCTGAACAAGTCCAATCCGTCCCAAAGAAAATGCTTCTGCTTAATCTAGAATTCAAAGGTGAGATTGAAGCAGAAATCCTTCGCAGACGCCTCTCAAAATCGCTGAGGAAAACATACTTCGCCGCTAGCCTACGACTGACGTTTTCCTGCAAGAAACTGTTCAGCCAGAACGCGAAAGACAAGCTGTCGCATTGGGCCACCTCAACGTGCATATACCAGTTTACTTGCTCTTGTGGAGCTGAGTACGTTGGCCGTACCATGCGCCGACTTGAAAAACGCGCTCGTGAACACTATCCAGCCTGGCTAGTAAAAGGAGAACGAAAACGGGTAAATAGTTCGGTGACAGAACACCTGGTGAATTCAGGACATTCAGCGCCACTCGAAAAATCCTTCAAAATCATTTACAAGATTCGATCAAACCCATCAAAGGGAGTTAAATCAAGACATCTGGGCATAGCCGAGGCGCTAGCTATACAAAAGCTCAAACCCACGCTTTGTATACAAAAGAAATACGTCCAACCCCTGTCCTTGCCATGGCCATCATAAACAAGTAATTTTTAGTAATCACCATCCCATCGCCTTTCTTATCTAAACTTCCTGTTTATTCATGTTATTTCAAGTTTTTCTTAATCCCTGTTTACACTACCATATTTTCTTACCCGAACTTAGTGTTTATTTTGTCATTTTACTATTTCTACACATTTAATCCCTGATTGCATAAACAATTATTCATCACATTAGTTTTTATCCAAACATCCTGTCTATTTTGTTATTTCTACATTTCTAACCCCTAATTGCACAATGTCAGTCTTCTTAGTTATTTTAATGCTATTTTGTTTGTTTTATCCATCCCCCTGTTTATTATGGCATTCTAATTCCCAATTTTAATTTTTATTAATTTGACCCTTGACCGGATATTATTCTGGAACTTTCCCATCCATTTGATATAAATACACGAATGTACAGCCTAGATGATGACTTCGTCGAAAAGAAGATTAACGTTAAGTTACTATTTTTTTTTTGGTGTGGTTGTGTTCTCTGAGCTAGCTGGATAGTTTGTTAGCGAAGCTTTCATTGCCTTACTTACTAGGCCAAATCTTCAGCATATACTTCAATTCAATGAAGTGAGCTTTCAGATTTCTCTACGAGTTTACCGTCAATCATCTCTCCAATTGAGTGACATTGAACGTGATTGGTTGTTTTTGGGTGTTTTCACACCATCTAGGCTACTTGTATTGCAGCTGATTGTTTCTTTGACTTGAACTTTGACCCTTTGTGTGTGTGTGTTTGGAATTTCCATCTTATCGGTTGGTAAATTTTGTCTATCTTGATGTGTCTGTTGATTGGCTATTCACTGGAATACCAGGCAGCCTTCTAAAAAATTCTCTAGCATTCTTGATGGTTTCTTCTCTGTCTAATATTTGAACGTTGGTTTTCCCAATCGATTTGATGTCCGTTGTTGTCCGTATGTAGTGATATGCAGGAAGGAGCTTTGCAAATTAACTATCCAGCTCAGAGAACACAACCACATCAAAATCATCCAACTGAGGTGCAAATCGTCTCCATTACAGAAAAATTACTATAATTATTATTCCTAGTACATAGAAAAATGAAAATTGAATCAAATAATAACTGATACGGGTTGCACAAGAGGCGGCTGTTGTGACGCAACTGGCGTAGTGACTAACACTCTGGTGTTTGAAACTATAGGTACTGGAATCGACCCTCAGTGGCGTCACTTTCACTCACTGGAGAATGCAAAGTACATCCATTTGGTAATGAGTCCAAAACAAGACGAAATGCGCATCCTAGATTGTACTTTTAGTTACCATCCACCAAATCACTTCAGAATAAACCCTTAAAAATATCAGTGAAGCATCTGCACCAGGAGCCGACAAGTAAACAGAGGCCAAATACATCGGCAAACCAACCAACCAACCAACCAACGAGAAAGTCCAAGTTGAAGTGACTGAAAACAAGATTAATTAGAGGATTTTATCATGAGGTGCGTCGGTGGTATAGCGGTTAGAACGCTCGCCGACCATGCATATGGTCCGGGGTTCGATCCCCGACCGGCGCACTCCTTTACCTCACTGAGCCAGAAATAATGCTGGTAAAGAGGAAAGGTTGG